CAGTAGGTTAACAAGTACAGAAAATATGAATAATTAAATAAATTGACCATCTTTATTTATCTGTTATTAAAAAAAGTATGCATAGTATTTTCAGAAAAATGCCAAGCAATTACATTTTTAGTCCCTTCACAGAAGAATTTATAATAGCCCATTCTTGGTGAGGACTGATCTTCGTGTAAGGTTATTTGCAAAGCTATTAATGCATAAAATCATTAAATTTTGCAATTTATTTCACTCCAAAATTTGTTTGAGCAGATTTCATAGCTATCAATGTGTTGTGCTTTAAAAATCAAGGTGGAAGGGATTGTTAAGAATTAAGGCAAACTTTACTGACAGAATAAAGCTTTAAGACCTATCATTTAATGATGACATCATTACTATGAAATTCAAAGGAGTTCAGAAATCTTACAAAGAGCCCAAGAGTATTTTATAGCAGATTTGGCAAAGAAATAATTTTTCTATTTTGTTGAAATGCTATCTTACTTGGGATTATTCCACTGAACATGTTTAAATAAAAGAAAAAGAAATAAATAAATAGTTCTCTTTCACTCACTTTCTGGTAATAGATCAGCAAAGCTCAAATGAGTGCAATAGTAAGATGGGAGATAATTTACCAAAATTCCATGACAATAAAAATTAGTGTCACAATGGTGAGAAGATCAAGCAGAAGAAAATTTTTGAATTTTGTTAATACCTTATTTTCCAAAATCATGTATTTTTGCTTTTGTTATTTTGCAAAAAAAATAAAATAAAAATCACAGAATTTTTAACATAATTTTAAGAATAGGTTATGAAAAAGTCTCCAACAGACAAAATGCCTACTCTTTGAACCATTAAGACCTCACAATCTCCTCCTTAATGCTTTATAAATTCTTTACAAAGAAAAAAAATGAAGCATTGACAGATATTATTACCAGTTGTTAAGCTTTCAATTGTATTTTCATTTTTTATTTTCTGTTATGACACTTTCAAAAACAAAATGAGGATATTAGTTCAAATAATTCATAAAATAACAATACTTCATTTCAGTTGCTTTCTGAAGTTTTGAGGTTAAATATTTTCATTATTCTATATTTTTCAGATTATTAACTTCTGCTTTGTTGTTGTTTATAACATTTTGCCCAATATACACTTATGCCTTCTTCAACAAGGCTGAAGAATATATCAATCAAAATGGAGTATTGAAATAACAATGACAATGGTTAGAAAAAAATTATATAAGCAACCAACTTTATATAAACTATATATAATAGAAAAATTTACATACACTATTTGATATTGAACACTTTTACCCATAAATATAAAATATAGCATACCTTAAAACTATATTTTATTTTATATATATATATATATATATATATATATATATATATATATATATATAAGTATGTATGTATGTTACCAATATCCAGGAGGCTTACACAAGAATGTTCCCTTTTTAATATTTTGAATTTGATATGACTACAAAACATTTCACTTTTAAACTTGCTTTGATAAAGTTGTATTGATGAAAGGTGTCGGCAATGATTAAGAAATATTTTCCAATTATCTTTTTTTAACCAATTTGTCTTATCTTCAGAATTATTGAGAAATTTAACATTATATATATATATATATATATATATATATATATATATATATATATATATATATATATATATATATATAAATACTCCATCAATTTTTAAAATAAAGTTAACTTAAAAAGGGTAAAGTAATTTTTCTTCAAAATGATTTCATTTGCAAGAGACCTCACCAACCAAACATTTGTACCTCAGCCTTAAATCTTGCAGCCATAAATTTGCTGCTCTATTAATGAACAAAACTCAGTTATTCATCTAAAATGATTGAGCATAGAGAGTGTTTGTGCCAGAGGAATTGGCAAATAAAATAACTTATGAAAAAACAATAGTCTGAGATCAATATTGAAACTAAGCATGAGTAATATTTTTGTAACATTGATACACACACATTTTTTTATGTATGTCAGGGTTGAGGCGTTTGTGTGTGAATGGGGGTAATCTACTGGGAAAAAATTAATAATCAACAAGTAAAATTATGTCATTAATAAAGAATGAAATATTGAAAGAATTAAAGTTTTAAGAACAAAAAAAGTTCCATTAAAAACCAGTAAAGCAAAGACTAATCTAAACAAACATGATTTCTTTTAAGTTTTATCTATTCTTAGGTAAAACAGATAATATTTTTTATTTCTGTAAAAAATTAAAACGTGGGGGAGGGAGAGAAACAAATTTAGTTTAATTAGAATAATATATACTTTTTTGAAAGAAAAAGAAATTTCCATTTACTCATTAGGCTAAAATCAAGCAAAAATGGAACGTTTATATGCCAGCTGAAAAAGTAAATAAATTTAAAAAAATAAGCTTTTCAACTGGTATTTCAATCAGAATTAAAATAATGAAAATAAAGAAACTTGTTTTATTTATTTGTGATAAAAATTATTTGTTTTTAATTCAGTCAAGTAACAAACAATTATTACAGAACCTGCTTCACATTTATTCATTACAAATTTAAATTAACTCTTAATTATTAAATAAAATATTTGTTATTTGTATATGGACAGATGTTACTGAGCAAATGACAATGTTTAATCCCATGTGCTCATTTAATTTTAATTTCTTAGCTGTTGGCTTCATGATCCAAGTAGCATGGTTTGATTAAATAATCCTTTCGGAAAGTATAACAATTTTGAGTAAAAGGATTTCAGTTTGACAATTGTCTATGTGGTATTTGTTTATAAATTTTTGTATGTTAATATTAAAAACCCTGTTATCACAAAATAATTGCACAAGGCATTTATATCAGTCTTACTAGAAATGACCATAACATTGGCCTATGAGAAATTGTTTAAATGTTTTCTCTTAATAAGTGATCTTAAAATAAGCAAGACAAAGAGAGGGAGTGACGAGCACATGATAATGACACAAACAGCTCTTTGGTGCTTCTGTTTGAAAAGGTAGAGGAGTTTGCCCATTTACCAAATCTGTCAACAAATGTGGCATACCTGTTACTAGACCATTATCAAGATATATAGTAACAGGACAGTGCAGAGAGATGTGGGTTTATACCTTTCCAAAGGGCATGAGTATAAAGTGAACAGAAACAGCTTCAGTCAGAATTTGAACCTGATTTGTTCAATTGATATTCGATGTTGATAACTGCTATATGATATCTCTTGCACACATATAGCATTCTCACTTTAAAATATATATACACACACTTTGCTATTAGCAGGTATGATTATTACATGTAAATTAAAATAATTTCATGATACAGAATAAATCTTAGAAAGAAATGTATGAATTAGGGATAGACATTATCTAATTGAAATTAAAACTGCTGTTGAAAACTATGTAGAACAATGAGCAATGCCATGTTCTAACATGCTTTATGATGAATTGCAAACTATGTTGACAAGTCATTGAAGGAACTTAATGCTGTTAGAACAATGTTTTCTTTGGGGAAAAAATTGTTGAATTAAATAAATACCAAAAGAAGAGCAGATATTTAAAAAAAAAATCTGTCAGGCATTACAAGTTTTACAAGTATGCAAATGTACAGTGTAAAAAACTTAACTGAAGTTCACCTGGCCATGTCGCAAGTCAGATTCAAATGGCTATCATTAAAAGAGTGGAAAGAAGTGACATTCTGACCAAACAAGTATATTTTTAAAAATAAAATTTCTTTCTGAAGGATTTTACAAGTACATAAATATGCCGACAGTCACAGGCAGTGAAAATGGATGCTTTGTACAAAATAGGTCATATGTCTGAATATGTTATAAGCTTTGCCAATGAATGAATGGATGTATTTAGCCAAGATTACGATGCCAACTACAAACAGATGAAAGTAATAAGCACTGGACATAGAAGAATCACCAGAATTTTAAATGATGCCTAGTTTGGAATCCTAACCATCATATATATGAATTGGATCGTAATTACGATTCCAATGTAATAAATTATAACCATGGAATATTAATGTTTAAGTCTTTTTATTATATTCTTACACTGTCCTGAACATTGAGTTCTACCTGGATTCTATCCTCTTGAAATTTTATATATATATATATATATATATATATATATATATATATATATATATGTATGTATATATATATATATTTATATGTGTGTATGTATGTATGCATATATATATATATTGTATGTGCATCTAAAACATATCAGCCAAAAGTTAACTTGGTGGAAATTAATCTGAAAAGCATTAATATATAATCTTTATTGAAACATTTAATGAGATAATAATTGATTAATAATTAAATCAGTTTTAAAACAAACTAATATCACATTTTCTAAGGGCATATAGCAAAAACTAAATAAATTTGGTTAATAAGACTATTTGTTTAATTTAACAAATAAAAACCTATGTTAGAATAAGTATTATATCTAAAAAAAAGAAAAAAGTTACATATTTTGTATTATGCATTTTATAGAGATAAAAGGCCGATTCAAAGAATACATTTTTGTGGACACCCCATATAGGCATCAATTTAAAATAGGACTTTCAAGACAGTTATCAGAGAAAGGAACTCTAGATGATCTACTTAGAAAGATCATACTATTCAGTTTGTCTCAACTAAACTTCAGAAAGTTAATTCAATAGTATTGAGAAAAATAAACCCTTTGTATGTTTAATGGTTAATTTTGTTACATGGTCAATCCAAAAATTTGTCTTAAAAGAATGTAAAAAAGACAAGACCTTGTCCAAATGAGTTGTATGAAGCAATTAACAGTGTGAGATCTTAAAACAGCCACAACCTCAAATAGCTTTCACCTTCATTAAAGTAACAACCATTTTCAAACAAGAATACAGTAGACATAACTTGGGGATTTGAATGTGTATTAACTGTATTGAATATGGTATCTTAAAGACTTGTCCAAAATCTAAAGCATCAATTATCCCAGCAGGATTAGCATAAATGTAAATAGTAATAAGCTGGAAGTACCCAAGGTATAAAATTAGCCAGATGTAGATATGAACATATGTTCATTTAGCATTAAGTGGTTAAATGGACAGAGTGATGAAAGAGGAAAATCTGGAATTTAAAGTTAAAAAAAAAAAAAAAAAAAAAAAAAAAGAAAAATAATAAAGAAACTATCACTATACATTGAGAAGCAATTTAGTGATTTCTTACAATTAAAGTTGCATAAAGTTGACTCCAGCACTTAAGATACAAAATTAGTTTTTCACTATATATCAAAATAAAGTTTTTCAAATAATGTTAAAACATTATCAAAAGAAAACAATTACAACAGTATTTAAAAGACAATATCTGGCGGGGCAGGAACTTATAAAAAAATTATATAGAAAGATAATTAACATTATTACACTTTCATAATTGAAAACTAAACAACGAAATATATATATGTATTTATATATAATAATTGGTCCCGTTTATTCTTAAAGTTATTTTTTCATTAACAATTTATATTACTTGTGTAAATTCAACCAAAGAATATAGGGGAAAAAATATAACCAAAATATTTGAAAAATGTGGTAATATTTATAAAAGAAAGATACTGACAAAAAAAGTAAAAGAAAACATCAGAATTTAATTTTTTTTTTTTTTAGAGTCAAAAGAAAAGTAATAAATTCTGATGGGAGTTCATTGAAAAAAGAATTGAAAATCCAACAAAATGGTTATAAAAAACATTAAAAACTAGCAAACTACTTTGGTTACTTTTAAAACAAATCACAATATGCACAAATAAAAATGAAAAACGGACAGCTTTCCAGGTATATTCATACCCCCCCCCAAAAAAAACAAAACAAAAACAAAACACACAACAGTGGTTTCTGATTAATGAGTTCACTGAAAAATGACCAGATTACTCATGTATCTTACCACATACATATTATATACCTGGGGTAGTTTTCTGAAAATAAATGGTATGCAGATTTGATTGGATTATTTTGAACAAATCAGTTGAAATAATTCAACCAAAAAAACATCCTTTTGCAGACTTTTAAGAGTTTTTATTTTTTTTTTAATCTTTTTCCAAAGTGAGAAATCAGTCGACACAAATGAAATACAAACTTTTGAGCCTACTAAAAAATCTTTTTAGTAAAACAATAAAATAATTAAATTCTAACAAGTCTGTTAAACCGATGACACCTTGACTTGGGGAACCAGTAAAATATCAACTAATAATCAGAAAAGAGAAATTATTTATGTAAGAAAGTTTATAACTTGAATTTAACCATAAATTGATTTATTAATTTAAAATTTTTCAAGTCATTCACTGTATAAAAGCCAAAGAAGGTCCTAAACAAGTTAAAATGTGACATTTTAGCTCTCAAAAATAACAACTGATGTCACAAGAAGAGAACTCTCTAATATAAGAATCCATTTTCTTTAATATGATCAATGGATTCGTAAATATGCAACAAAGATCCTAACAAAATGTCACGAGTTAATAAATTATATATTATTCTATATGATTAATTCCAAATTTATAATTATTTAAGGTGTTCTGCTTGATTATAATGTAGGATGGTCACAAAAATGAGATAGGAAAAAAGAACCCAAGTGGATATGTATTAATTGAATAAAAAAACGTGTAGAATGGGTTCTTTTCAGTTGATGATATATTTAAAAATAATCAAAGAAATCCAGGTGATCATTTTCCCTAAAAACAGTAGGCAACTCAGGGCAGAAATAAACAAGAGAAAAATGGAGAATAAATTGTTTCAGTACAATTTTCTTGAGTGTTTATCACAATTATTTTCAATTGTACTGAGCTGATCAAAGATTTCAAACATTTGATGTAAACAATACATTGTACATTTTATTGAATGAAGAAATTGTGGGTCACATTTTGTGCATTTTATTAGCCACCAAGCAAATATTTTTTATAAATCTAGGAAAAAAAAAAAAAAAAAGCTGATGTAAAAGATAATAGGAAAACTTGGAAAGAAAAATATTTGTCTATACTTGACAGAGAATAAAGAAACTAAACCTCAAAACAAGAACTGAACAATTAAGTCTTCTAGTCAGAATTATTGACATTAGCAAATTAATAATCTAAGATCATTTTTCCTTAAAATATATAAAGATATTAGTGTTGGTAATTGGGATTATAAAGTTAAATATGAATCTAAGATGTTAAGTGGAAAAAAAGACTGCTTCTTAGGTAGACAGAATAGTAATATTAAAATAAAACAAATAGGAATTTTCCATTATGAAAGAAAATAATTAAAAAAAAAAAAAAATGTTAATTTCAATAGGAGATATACGAAATATATCTTTTATTCAATCTTTGGTCGTTCCTTTAGATAAAAATTTATGCCAGCAGTAAATAGTAACAACTAAGAAAATTTTTGTCTTTAAAGTTTCAAATGAGAGAGGCGTGCATGATTCATTTGATGCAGAAGTGGTCATAGATGAAAATATTTTAGTGACTAGTCACACAGTGGAATCAAGGTATATAGGTGGAGGGGAGAGACAGAGAGAAGGACAACTTCAAAGATTGGAGGTTTTTTTTTTTTCTTTTTTTAAGAATATTACAATAAATATTCTCTTCTTAAATAACAGTTATACAGAAAAAAAACTTTTCTCTCTTTCTCTCTCACTCACACACACACACATGCACACACAAATAATCACAGTTTTGTAAATATTTTTTTTTCCCAAAATAAACAAAAAAGAACACAGACTGATTTTCGGCAATGACATAGCTTTTGGCTCCATTCAATTTTGTAGTTTTTTTTTCTTCTTCTTCTTGTCTAATGTCTTATATTCTAAATGGTTTGAAGCATCAATGTACCTTCAGTATTGCACAAAATGGTAACTAGCAACCTTAAATGTAAAAAATGGTTTAACAGAAACAAAACAGTTTCAAGACCTGAGACAATTAAATTCTTTAACAACTTCTAATTCTGTCTGTCTTGGTTTTTAGAATCTTGGGGGTGAGGAGAGAGTAGAATGTATTTATCCAAGTTACACTGTTAGCAAAATCAGCAGGAATTTTTGGTTTTTTTTTTTTGTATTTTTTTTAGAGTCATTCCATCAAAGGAGCAGACTTACAGAAAGTATACATTGTCACTTTATCAAACTTTATTATTGAATTTTATATATATATATATATATATATATATATATATGAAGCTTTGTAATTCTGTATTTTAAAAAAATGGCAGACATTAACTGGAGCAGGGTGGGGCAGAAGATTAAGCATTGTTTGTGTTGTATGTTGTAAGCATTTTCATATTTCTTTGTTGAGAGAAGGAAAAATAGTATAAATAAGAATGAAAAGTAAGAAGTTGATTGCCATTGGCTTTCTGACAGAACCAATGAACACACTTACATTAAGTACATATAGATTATAGTTAGGTAGAAACATCAGAATGTTCAGACCTTTTTATTATTATTGATACAGCAGCTATTTATACACACATGTGCATGTGTGACCATATGCGCATGTGTGAGTAGTATGCATGTGCATGTTGATTATAATCATCATCATTTTTGTTGTTAAATTTGTTTGCAATGAAAAAGCAAGAAATCCCATGACCATTATTTTGTGATTGCTAAATAAGCCTGCCACCAATGGATCCACCCCAATTCTTTTCACCTATAGTTGATGAACTCAGTCAATGTACCTGGTGGGTATATATGTCATTTGATAACATTTCTGCCAGTTGTTCATCAGTTGGATGTTGGTGTTGCTGACAGTAGTGATGGTGTTGGCAAGCAGAGTAGTCAAACATTTTTATTTTTATATTTTACTTTTCTAGTTTTATATTTCAGTAATCTTCATCTTTAATAGATAGAGCAAATGTAGCCTTTTATAGCAATATATATATATATATATATATATATATTGAAAGATAGAGTGTGAGTGTGTGTATGTGTGTGTGTAGTTGGGGAAGAAAGCTGTTCAGTATTCTGTTGAGAGTCAGGACACTGGAATGTCATGTGGGGAGTAGTAGCTGTTGATGGCTGGTACAATGTTATTGATGCAATGTGGTGATTTTGCATGGTCTGAAAGAAATAGTAAAGAGAAACAATCAAACACAAGAAGGAAATAACAAAAAAAAAAAACGAAAGAAAGTCTCAGAATTAGTTTCCTGTCTTTTAAAAAGAATTTGCCAGGATTTCCAAGAGAACATCATCAAGCAAATGCTAAAAACTTAACCAAAATATTTTGTCAATTTGATTTACTTTATTTTAATGGATCATTTAAAAGTAAACAGAGAAGCTTAGACATTACCTTTTATCACAAGATTGTCTTGCTTTATATTTGCACAAAGATGATGTGAAATATATCTTTGCAAAATGTTTTAGGGAAATACTTTTAAACACATTACTAAATACAATCACAACAAGTATAGGACCATTAAGAAAAATCTGTAAATGAAACAAAATGACAAAGTTCTTTGTAAATTTTTAAAAACAAGCAATAAACCTGACAGGGGAGATTAGTACATTTTAATAAAATAAACATCTATTTTGTATAAAATTTGAACATTAGTGTATTTTAAGTTTAAGGGAAAAATATTTTGGTCTTAAATTGAAATGTTTACTTCAGCCAAATCAGAAAAACAAAAACAAAAAGGTCTGAAGCTTTTTGTATATTTTTGTTAGGCCATTTTCTAATTTTCAGTTTTAATTCTAATGCTGCATAAACATTAAATGTAGAGTATTTTTCTTCTACATTAATAGAATATCTTTTTACTTATTGAAATATTGAAGATCAATAAGAAAGGTGAAACCCAAACCCAAACAGTCTTAATAATGAAATCAACAAAGAAAAATTAACAAAATCAAAGCCAATAAAAAGGTTATTTTGCAACAACTTTTATGTCTATCAAGGAAAAGAGAAACTCATTTCAGTAGTCATTGTTACTGAACCCACAGCCACAACAGTCAACAATAGAGTAAAAAGTGACCAAGCAGTTTCTGTTTGCTTATTCTATGCATGTGTAATTCAGGATACAATTGGGAGGAGGTGGGGGGGGCAATAAGGTGTTTTGGAAAAGGTTAGTGACAGTGAAAGAATAAGAGATTAGGACATTAAAAAGAAAAAAACTGAATGATGAAAGAAAGAAGTAGAAAATAATCATGGTGAAATCTACATACTTCAAATATCATATCATGAACACCATAGCAAAGAGTCGATCCAAATGGATTATTAGTATTTGTAGAGGATGACCTGGTCAGGATGACCGGTCGCTGTTCAGGTTTCAACAGATATTTTTGTACTTTATCCCACTGAAAATATAAAAGAAAGCATAAAATTTATAAATGACAAAACATAATGGAAAAATAGGACAAGCCTCTTTATGAAAAGAATAAATTTGCTTTTTGATAAATCAAGAATATATGACCATATAATGAAGGTAAATTAATCATTACAAAAATTTGAAAGAAAAAAAAGAAAAAAATCTTAGACTATAATAATTATTTACAAATCTGTCTAACACAAAGTCGCAATGATTGAACACTCGGTGCCATTTCTATAGTTTAGATGCTCTAGAGATATTTATCAAGAATAGGATCAAAACAGTAGGACACCTAATGAGTTATGAACTAACCTTAGCTTAGTATGGTATAAAATCAAACTAAACAGAAACTGACAGGACTAAATATATGAGTAGTGGTTTGAGAGTATCCTGTTAACCAGTTCAGTTTAAAGATGAAATTGTCATAAATAACAAAAATATTCACAAGATTTGAAGTAAAACTTATAAAAAATTGACAAAGAGTTCTGACCAGATACAAAAAAATAAAAATAAAAAAAATAAAATTATTTTCTATTAAATGTCAGGTGTTGATAATTAACATTATCTTTATGCCTTGGCTCTTCTCTCACACACTTCTCACCCCTTATCCCAAATGGAAATTCTTAAGATTATTCATTATATCATGCCTTGGCTCTTTTCTCACAAAATCCCAAACCCATGGAAATTCTAGATTATATCATGCCTTGGCTCTTTTCCCCACACAGGACCCATGGAAATATATGACAATTAAGATTATTCATTATATCATGCCTTGGTTTGATCCCCATTAAAGATGGAAATTCTACATGTTGATTAAGATTATTCATTATATCATGCCTTGGCTCTTCTCTCACACCAGTTCATCCCACTAAAGATGAAATTGTGTTAATCCCAATTACAATTCTAAAGTGTTGACAATTAAGATTATTCATTAATCAACACACTTCTCATTCCCACAAGACCCATGGAAATTCTACAAGTTGAAGATTAATTACACTTCTCACCCCTTATCCCATAAAAAAATTCTACAAGACAAATTATTCATTATATCATGCCTTGGCTCTTTCTCACACACTTCTTCTAGACCCATGAAATTCTACCAATTAAGATTAAAATCAAAATTCTCAAAAAACCCATGGAAAATTTAAGATTATTCATTATATCATGCCTTGGCTCTTCTCTCACACACTTCTCACCCCTTATCCCACTAGCTAGACCCATGGAAATTCTACAAGTGTTGACAATTAAGATTATTCATTATTCTCACCCCTATCTTTATGCCTTGGCTCTTCTCTCACACACTTCTCACCCCTTATCCCACTAGCTAGACCCATGGAAATTCTACAAGTGTTGACAATTAAGATTATTCATTATATCATGCCTTGGCTCTTTTCTCACACACTTCTCACCCCTTATCCCACTAGCTAGACCCATGGAAATTCTACAAGTGTTGACAATTAAGATTATTCATTATATCATGCCTTGGCTCTTCTCTCACACACTTCTCACCCCTTATCCCACTAGCTAGACCCATGGAAATTCTACAGGTGTTGACAATTAAGATTATTCATTATATCATGCCTTGGCTCTTTTTTCACACCCACTTCTCTACCCTCTTCTCTCACACACTTATCCCCCACTAGCTAGACCCATGGAAATCCCACTCTACAAGTGTTGACAATTAAGATTATTCATTATATCATGCCTTGGCTCTTCTCTCACACTTCTCACCCCTCATCCCACTAGCTAGACCCATGGAAATTCTACAAGTGTTGACAATTAAGATTATTCATTATATCATGCCTTGGCTCACACTTCTCACATCCCACGAAATTCTACAAGTGTTGACAATTAAGATTATTCATTATATCATGCCTTGGCTCTTCTCACACACTTCTCACCCCTTATCCCACTAGCTAGACCCATGGAAATTCTACAAATGTTGACAATTAAGATTATTCATTATATCATGCCTTGGCTCTTTTCACACACTTCTCACCCCTTATCCCACTAGCTAGACCCATGGAAATTCTACAGGTGTTGACAATTAAGATTATTCATTATATCATGCCTTGGCTCTTTCTCACACTTCTCATTCTTATCCCACTAGCTAGACCCATGGAAATTCTACAAGTGTTGACAATTATTATTCATTATATCATGCCTTGGCTCTTCTCTCACACTCACCTCCCACCCCTTATCCCAAACAGCTAGACCCATGGAAATTCTTATTCATTATATCATGCCTGGCTCTTCTCTCACACACTTCTCACAATCCCAAGATTATTAATTATTCATTATATCATGCCTTGGCTCTTTCACACACTTCTCACCCCTTTATCCCAATAGCTAGACCCATGGAAATTCTACAAGTGTTGACAATTAAGATTATTCATTATATCATGCCTTGGCTCTTCTCTCACACACTTCTTCTCACCCCTTATCCCACTAGCTAGACCCATGGAAATTCTACAAGTGTTGACAATTAAGATTATTCATTATATCATGCCTTGGCTCTTTTCTCACACACTTCTCTTTATCCCACTCAGACCCATGGAAATTCCCAATTTATCCCACTAGCAAGTGTTGACAATTAAGATTATTCATTATATCATGCCTTGGCTCTTTTTCACACACTTCTCACATCCCACTAGCTAGACCCATGGAAATTCATATAAGTGTTGACCTTAATTAAGAATTCATTATATCATGCCTTGGCTCTTTTCTCACACTTTCACCTTATCCTAATTAGCTAGACCCATTTCTACAGGTGACAATTAAGATTATTCATTATATCATGCCTTGGCTCTTTTCTCACACACTTCTCACCCCTTATCCCACTAGCTAGACCCATGGAAATTCTACAAGTGTTGACAATTAAGATTATTCATTATATCATGCCTTGGCTCTTTTCTCACACACTTCTCACCCCTTATCCCACTAGCCCCTTATCTTCTCAAGTGTTGACAATTAAGATTATTCATTATATCATGCCTTTTTAATTCTCTCAATTCTCACCCTTATCCCACTAGCTAGACAAATTCTAAAGAAGATTATTCATTATATCATGCCTTGGCTCTTCTTTTTTCACCCCCTTATCCCACTTTGGAAATTCTACAAGTGTTGACAATTAAGATTATTCATTATATCATGCCTTGGCTCTTCTCTCACACACTTCTCACCCCTTATCCCTTCCCATGGAAATTCTACAAAATTAAGATTATTCATTATCCCACTAGCCCACACTTATCCCCTATCCCCTAGCTAGACCCATGGAAATTCTACAAGTGTTGACAATTAAGATTATTCATTATATCATGCCTTGGCTCTTTTCTCACACACTTCTCACCCCTTATCCCACTAGCTAGACCTGTTGACTTAAGATTATTCATTATATCATGCCTTTCTCATCATTATGCTAGACCCATGGAAATTTCTGTTGACACACATGCTTCTCACCCTTCTCACCCTTTATCCCATCCCCATGGAAATTCTACAAGTACAATTAAGATTATTCATTATATCATGCCACACTTCTCACCCCTTATCCCACTAGCTAGACCCATGGAAATTCTACAAGTGTTGACAATTAAGATTATTCATTATATCATGCCTTGGCTCTTCTCTCACACACTTCTCACCCCTTATCCCACTAGCTAGACCCATGGAAATTCTACAAGTGTTGACAATTAAGATTATTCATTATATCATGCCTTGGCTCTTCTCTCACACACTTCTCACCCCTTATCCCACTTCTAGACCCATGGAAATTCTACAAGTTTGACAATTAAGATTATTCATTATATCATGCCTTGGCTCTTCTCTCACACACTTCTCACCCCTTATCCCACTAGCTAGACTTTCTTTGACAATTAAGATTATTCATCCATGCCTTGGCTTTCTTCACACACTTCTCAATTTCCCACTATTCTACAAGTGTTGACAATTAAGATTATTCATTATATCATGCCTTGACTCTTTTCTCATTTTTCCAGCATCTTTTCATTCTCCCTAACCCTTTCAATCTTTGTTGCAATTCTTAAAATTCAAGGATCATGTCACAACAAAAAAGAATTTTTTTTTACTACATTCTCTTTCATCTTTTTGTTCTATTTTAAAGAATTTTAATGTAGTACATTTTTAATACCTTTCCATCCCTACTTTATCTTTCACTGATTGTTGCTTGATATCCTTCCAACAAACCTATTTCTTTCATCTTCGCCATTTTATCTATAAATGCATATATATTTCTTTTTTTTTTCTTTTATTTGGTTTTTCTTTGCTTTTCTAGATTTTTCTTTGCTTTTCACCTTCATACCCTCTCTTTATCCACTTCTCCTTGTTTTTTTGTTTTCCAAGATTCTTTCCCACTTTATATCCTTATGCATGTTTCTTGTTCAGAAAGCTTAACTGATTGTAGATCAGAATAAATAAAGACTGGTCAGATACTAAATTCTTAGGTGAAAAAAAAGTGTAATGTTCATACAAACAAACAAGTAGAATATTCGTATGATTGACATACAGACAGACTGAGTGCCTCTTTGAAGAATAAACCATTACTAGTAAAGTCAATTTGTTCCACACTGAGTGCCCCCAAGTTTGTGTTTTTTTTACTGAACTAAACTACACAATAAATACCTAGAGTGCTTCACCATAGTGAACATATACTAGTGGACCAGATAATGATTACTGCAGAGTGCATTCAGTTGTTACTAGATACCACATTATTGTGACCAAATTGCTTGTATCCAGTAAAGTCATGAGGGGATCAATGAACATGCTAAGTGATATTAATTAAAATTTTCTGACTGTTAAGCACCAATGTTTAATTAATGTCCCCACTTTTTGAAATTTACATTTTGTTTTCATACTGTTGTGACTAATAATTGCTTTCCAGTAATATGATTTAGTCTTTAGAGGGGTCTTCATAATTATATTCCTGTCATACAGACATCAGAAAACAAACAAATATTGGTGCTAACAAGTTTAGTAAGCAATTGCTAACATAAATACCTATATCCAGTGATAAAAAATTAGTGCACAATGTGCTGAGTAACTATTAGGCACCAGAGTTGCAGAAAATCTAAACAACTCAGTTATAGCAAAAAGTTACCTTTGAATAGGCTGTAATGATCAGTGGTTCCTCTTCAGATAAGCCAGCTTCTAATTCTGGTTTATCTATGTGAATTGGAATTTTGAATTCACATCTGTAGTACCTACAAAATATACAAAGAGAATTTAATTATTAAACCTTATAATAATTATCAATGTGTATTTATATCTTTCCTGTCACATCTGAGGGCCTAATAAGAGATAGAAATACAAGCGATAACAATAAGCATCATTTAAAAGTAACAATTATTTTCAAGCAAACATATCACATAGTTTTTATTAAGGTTGCTGCAGAAAATATAAATTCATAATATATAGTAGTAAAATTTTTGATATGAAATAAGCCATCATTTTTGATGGCATGAATACACTAGTAAATAATAAATATCAAATTTTTACAAAAGAATGCTAGTTATTAACTGAAAACTGGGTTGTATGAATAAACAGTGATATAGAACTCCTATATTTTTGAAGGGATAAATTTTGATTAAGATTTTAAAAGGTTGAGAAAAGACAAGGTAACTACGTACATATTAAAATTGTAATGGCCAGGGTAATTGGTATGTAAGATGAATTTCTTCACAACATGGGTATTTGCATCAAAAAGAATGTCCTGAAAACAGAAATGGTGATAAGAATTACTCAATAGAATACATTTGTTTGAAAACTGAAGAGGAGAAAAAGAAGTTGTAAGTTTGTATCAGCTATCAAACTGTTGATGTATAAGGTAAATACTACAATGTGATATAATGTCTGTATTTAGAGCATACCACACACAACTGATCACTATAAAAAAATCATTTTACTTTAATTGTTTATTTCTAGTCATTATAAAATTTTTAAAAGTTAACGAAATGTTAAATACTTACGACTCCCATGGTGAAATAGTTGTAAAAATAATCTGAACAGCGGGATTTGACTCTTCGATGAGCATCAGGGGAATGTATTTTCATTTTATCTTCTGATTTGTAAAAAACTTTACTTGGACATCCTAAGGCACTAATCACATCCTAAAACCAAAACAATTACATTATGAATTAAGTATTTAAAAATTTACACAAATATACTCTTAAACTTTTTAATTTCATCAGGGATCTCAGTATGCAAAAAAGCAGATAACTTTCTTTTTTTAATCATTTCACCCCAAGCAAAGCAATAAAGCCACTAAGACACAAGGGGTTACTGAGTGTGAGAGAATATGGGAAAAAACATTAACGAGAACAATAAAAGAACAGGAATTAAGAAGTAATTAAGTAATCTCATATTGTTAAAGTCTCATCACCACAACTGCCATTTAAATTAGCTGCTAGTGTCACCTATCTTTAAAAACTACAATCAGGCTATTAATAAGGGGAACAACTCATACTCCACATTCTGACAAAAATATATAAAATATAGTTTTAAGGTATACTGTATGGGTAAAACTGCTCAATATCCGGGATAAAGCATGTTTAAATATAAGAGTTGACACTGAGGTGCAGTGTCCACTTTTATATTAACAATATATATATATATATATATATATATATATATATATATATATATATATATATATAATAAATGAATGAAATTTCATGAGATTCCATATATAATAAGCATAATCCTATAAAAGATCATTTTTCAACTATATCTGAACATTTAAACTTCAAAGAGTGTGGGAGAGAACTTTTTAAGATATATGCAGAATTCAAAATTATCAATTTGTTGAAAAATATTAGTTCACTTTCTATGCTTTTATTTATCATTTTCAATATTTACTTAAATAAATATGTACCTCTTGCATCATTGCTAGAAACTATAACATTATGTACATAGCAATTTGCTTTATATTTGCCAAAGAGTAGCTTCTGCACTTTCATATGCAATCCTAGGCTATACTTGAGAAAAAAAAAGCAAAAAAAAGCATAACTTTGTGAAATGATTTAAAGAATTTTCTTTTTAAATTAGGAGTTCAACTTTTGAATAAATATATACAGTACACCAAATCAAGACATTGAAGTCAAAAAAACAAAAAAAAATTTAGAGAATGTAGTTTCAAAACAATTTTCATTCAAATTAAATCAACTTGAAGGCATTAACTAACCTGACAAGAGTCAGAAAATCTGACTATCCTATCCACTGTTTTTTTCCTTGTATCCAATAGTTTACTTGAACCATTGCCTGGAATGAAGAAGAAAAAAGAAATAATCAGGGGATTTTTTTCTTTTAATCTTTCAAGTTAATCCATTCACATCTACTGCTAAATAACGAGTTCTGTGAAGAAATTTAACATTTGAGTAAAATTTCTTCAAATATTGTGTCCATAAATACAAAATTTAGGTTACCAACTGCAGTGCAATAACTATCAAGTTAGTCTCAAAGACCAATTTGCCATTGTAGTGCATTCTACCAGCACTGAGTAACCGTTTATAGCCTTGTGCCAGACTAAATAAAGCATACACAATAACTATAAATCCAATATTTTTCCCCAAATAATTTAGCAGTGATGTGTGTGTGTGTGTGTGTGTGTGTGTGTGTTTTAAGACATTAAGAATATTAACTCATATTCCCCCAAAATTAATCTGAACAAAACACTAATAAACAATATCCTTGTATAATCAAAATAAGACCATTTTATCAAGTCTGAAATTGTTTATCATCTGCTCTTATATTGAAAGTATGTTTTTTTTCTTGGGGACACTAATAAATTAAAATTCTTTTAAAATATCATTAAAATAACAGCCAAAATTTATCTTGTGTAACTAAAATCAAATGCTTTAAGCCAGATAAAACTGTCACTAAAACCAATTTTAGCAATTTTACTTGCTTAAAAATCACCAACATTAAAACAAGCAAAATGCAAATCAGCAAACTTGGACCTTTGTGCTCACAAAACAAAAAACAGATTGTTAAAAGGACAGTTTTTTTTCCATTGACACCACTATTATTTTAACTACCTTCACTCCTCAGCAATGTTCATTGTTTCAAAAAGCGATGATTAGAACTGAAATAAAACCTAAACATATGAAAGTGAATTTATACATTTCTTTTTGTTCTTGAGAATTTACATAAAAATATTAAATCCCTATTTATTTATTAGATTGTTTATGTACAAGAATTTTATTTTTACAACATTCTTAAAACTAATATAATTGTATTAAAACTAATGTAATGAAATATTCATCATTTATGGTCAATGACAAAATTATTCGTACACCCACCAATTTTGTATATTTTTATCCATGTCTCAGAATCTATGCCTTTATGATGCCAGGCTTTTTATGTTAATAAGCACAAAAAAAAAAAAAAAAAAAAAAAACAAGGAATATAAAACTCAATTTTCAGAACAATAGGTTAAATACTACAGATTTGACAGGCGACTTTTGCAAAATAGAAAAAGACAAAATGATTTGTAGAGTAGAAAATATCATTTTAAATTGATTGATTCGTGTAAGTATAAATAATTTACATAATTATTTTATCAATGAAGCCTTCTAGACTTTTATTCAGTAGAATATTTGTGTTAATTCCAGCAAAGAACAGCACATGGTGCATAGAGTGTCACCATTGTTATTCTAATGTTAACATGATGGGGAAGACAAAGGAGCTTAGCATTGACTTGAGACAGAATTATTAATTTCCACAAGTCAGGCAATAGTTACAGACACTATTTCAAACCAGTTAGCTATCCTTACATCTATGCTAAAGTCCATTATAAAGAAGTTTAAATAGTTTGGTACAACACAGAATTTACCAGGGCATGGAAGAAAACACAAATTGTCACCAAAAACTGTGTTGCAAGGTTAATATAAATCCAAGAGTTGTTTTTGGAAGACATTGCCAAAAGTTTGGATACAATGGGTATCAGCGTAACTACTCATACAATACAATATTGTTTAAATAGAAATGAGTTGTATGGAAACCAACCACAATGAACACCCCTTCCCAAAACATGTCACACTGTTGCTCAGTTTAATTCTGCCAAAACATTCTTGGACAGAAAATTGCTTTTATGAACAAGTACTATGGAGTGATGAAACAAAAATGAACCTTTTTGGATATAATGATGTACAGAAGATTTGGTACAATAAAGGTGAGGCTTTCCTCCCAGAGAACACAGTGGCAACATTAAAACATGGAGGTGGCTTGATGGTGTTTTTGGATTGTTTTAGCTCAAGAGGGACTGGACAATTAATTGCAATAAGAGGAATAATGAAATCTGCAGACTATAATCAAAATTATGGATGGAAATCTATAACTATCAGCACAAAATCTTCATCTAGGTTGGCAATTTACTTTCTAGCAAGATAATAATCCCAAACATGTGTCTAAATCAGTGACTGCATGGCTTCAGAAAAAGATTAGTTCTGCTATAGCTTACAATGAGTCTTGACTTGAATCCTATTGAAAATCTATGATAAGCATTAGAATGTGTAACCATTGAAGAATGAAAGAAAATTTCAGGAAAGACTTGTTTAAACTATATCAAAAGCTTTAGAAAATGATTGCAGCAAGTTATAAAGATGAGGAGCCATGCTATCGAATATTAATATTGTGAAAATTGTTCAATTTTTCATACTGTACAAATAATTTTGTCTCTTCCTATTTTGCATAATACGCCTGTCAAAATTTTTTGGTTTGGTTTGTTTTACAGTATATCAACCTCAATGGGTTATTTAATGCTGATAATATACATATTTTTTTTTCTTCCAAAAATGTGTTCCTGGTAATAACCTATTTTTTTTTTTACAAAGTATTTCTGGTATTAAAACATATTTTTTCACTTTTGTGGTATTTTGAACCTAGTTTGGGGTGTTAACTATATGCCCATAGATTGAACCCTAACAGGTGCTACCACCCTAGGTCAGGGTGGACCTGAGAACACCAGCAATTAAGAGATGGTTCCACGAGCCTCAAAACCTCCTGATCAGAGGCCTTACTGTTGGACATAGGCATCCTGGGTCTGACGATAAACTGTCAAATTTGTTGTATTTAACCTATTGTTCTGAAAATTGTGGTTTATATTCCTTTTTTTGTGCTTATTACCATATAAAAAGCTGGCATTAGATTATGAGACATGGATAAAAATATTCAAAATTGATGGGTGTACAAATAATGTTGTCATTAACTGAACCAATTTATAAAATAAAAACAAATTTTTTATTCATAAAATTATAAACATTTATTAAATTATTAAAATTTGTGAACTATAAGAAAATCTTTATTATTTATCATTTTATAAAGTTTGAATCAGTTGGCAAATTAGCTGATGTTTTGCCAACCATTCCAATAAGCAATCTAAGAAATACATAGTGTAAATAAACAATCTGTGTTTATTATTTTTGTTGCCAATTCTCAACAATAAAAGAAAATGTATAAATTCACTTTTATATGTTTAAGTTTTATTCCATTTCTAATCATTGCTTTTTAAAACAATAAACATTGCCAAGGAGTGAAGGTAGTTAAAATAATAGTGGTGTCAAGGGAAAAACTGTTCTTTTGGCACTCCATTTTTTTTTTTTTTACTGGCATGAAGGTCCAAGTTTGCCTGCAAATTTTCTAACTTTTATAAGAGTGAATCCAGTGATTAAAAACTGGAAAATAAAATTTCTTTTCAGTTATGATTTTACCTTCAGTAACTAGGATAAATTTCAATCCTCGTGTTGAGTTATGATCTCTGAGTACCTCAACACAATCAACAAAGCAGTTTCCATGAAAGCATGTAATGGGCAATGGAGGAGCTCTACAAAAACAAATTTAACAGAAAAAAAAGTTTTTTTTTTTTTTGTTTCATGCAAATTTAAATTGGTAAACATACCAAATTCTACTCTCTTCCTATTTTGATAAATAATAAACATGCATTGACACAATTGTGATAAAAACGATATGAGGATAGTAGTTGAAATAACTTGTGAAACATTTTAAGCTTTGTTCGGACATTTAAACTCCTTTGTGTTATTCATATCATCTGTATATTTCAGTGTTGGAATGAATATACACACATATATATATACACATATATATATATATATATATATATATATATATATATATATATATTTATATATATAGAAACCATTTTGTATCCTTAAAAAAAAAATCTATTGCTTTCCATAAAAATCATATTTAAGAAAAAGACTGGAGAAAGGGTCAGCTAAAGTGCTGTATTGTTTTCGCTTGTTTTGTTTTGTAGTATATCAACCTCAATGGGTTATTTAATGCAGACAAAATTTTTATTGCTGGTAATTTTTTTCTTCCCCAAAATGTATTGTTGGTAATGTTTTTTCCTTCAAAAATCTATTTCTGGTAATATTTTTTGTATTTTTCAGAAATCTATTGCATTTCCCAAAAATGTATTGCTGATAATATTTTTTTTTCCAAAAATGTATTGCTGGTAATATTTTTCCAAAAATGTATAGCTGATAATATTTTTCCAAAAATGTATTGCTGGTAATATATTTTTCCAAAAATGTATTGCTGGTAATATATTTTTCCAAAAATGTATTGCTGGTAATATATTTTTCCAAAAATGTATTGCTGGTAATATATTTTCATTTTCCAAAATGTATTTTTTTGGTAATATATTTTTCCAAAATGTATTGTTGGTAATATTTTTTCAAAAAAATATTTGAAATAATTTTCCTTTAAAAAATATTTCTGGTAATAAAATAATTTTCCTTTAAAAATCTATTTCTGGTAATAATTTTTCCTTCAATTTTGTATCCCTGATAATAATTTTTCCTTCAAAACTATATTGCTGGCTATAACTTATTTTTTAAAAATGCAATGCTGGTAATAATTTTTATTTCATATTGTTCGTAAACATTTTTTCTCAAAAATCTTTTTCTGGTAATAATTTTTCCTGCAAAAATGTATTACTGGTATTAATAACTATTTTTCCACCTCCACAGCGATTTTGACCTCTGTTGGTGGTTGACTATTTGCCTATAGCTGGGACCCCTAACAGATGCTTCTACCTCGGGTAAGGGTGGACTTGGGAATACCAACAATTAAGAGGTGGTTACACATTCCTCAAAAACTTCTGATCAGAGACCTTGCTGTTGGATGTAGTTTAATGTCTTACCCAGAATGTGGATGTAGTTTCTTGTCATACCCATAAAGTGTGTGAGGGGTTATTGTTCTGCTGTCCATTGTTTAGGAATAAATATCTCATTCTTATTTAGTACTACTCAGTTATTGCTCACTGTTTCCATAGAATCTGAACCCTCTGGCTCAGATTTAAATTATAATTATTGTCACTCTTATGTAATGAGATTTGATTTCCTTTGTATTTTCTCAGTCCAGTAGTAGTCATTAAACTTTTATATCATATTCTGCCCACTCCCTTACTGCTTTGACTCTTACATAGTCTATGGCTTAGCTATATATATATATATTATGCCTCTTAATTCTTTGGGGAACATAGGGCTGCAACAATACCTCTCTAACAGACATGTTTCTGAGCAATCCTCTTCAGCTAAGACCATGTCATGCTGGTTGACTTCACCTCTGCATCAACACTTCTGTGCTAAGTCTGTTTTGGTCAACCCACTTTTCACTTCCCTTGTGGATTCCAGTTAAGGGACTGCCTGGTAACACTAGAAGCAGGCTTGCAGTGTGTGGCTCATCCATCCCAATTTATGTTTCTTGATGTCAATTTTGATTAGGGCTTGTCTGGTCCTGTCCCACAGTTGGTTGTTGGAGACAACATCTGGCCACCTGATATTAAGGATGTTCCTGAGACATCGGTTGGTAAATATCTGAAGTTTGTAGGTGTTTGTCATGTTTACCTACCAGGTTTCTGAGCCATAAAATAGGACCGACTGATGTTGGTGTTGAAGATCCAAATCTTGTTTTAAAGTGAGAGGGCTGTTGATCTCCAGATTGGCTGCAGAGTGTTGATTCGGCACTTGATGTCTTCAGTCCCCCCCGATTTTTACTGATGATGCTTCCCAGGTAGACAAACATATCAACTTCCTTGATGTCTTCTTGGTGTAGTCACACTGGGTCTTGTCTGTTGTTTACCCTCATGACCTCAGTCTTCCCAATGTTGATTTGGGGGCCAGACTTCTCTGCTTCTTCTGCAACATGACTCAGCTTCTCCTGTGCATCTTGTTGTTTGTGGGAGAGAAGGCTAATGTCATCTGCAAAGTTCAGATCTTCCAGCTGCTTCATGAAGGTCCACTGTAAACCAGTTCTCCTGCCTACCATGGCCTGCAGCATTATCCAGTTGACCACCAGCAGGAAGATCATTGGCGACAAATACAAGTTTGCCCTGAGAATGGTTCCGTCAGCTTCCTATCATGGATAACTTGACAGGTGGCATCTTCATAGTTGTTGGATGATGGTGACAAACTTTGGCGGAAAGTGCTGCATCAGTCTCCAGATGACGTTTCTGTCAACACTATCAAAAGCTTTCTGAAAGTCAACGAAGACTGAGTACATGGGGGTCTGCCATTACTTCTGTTATTTCAAGCCAATGATAAGAAGTTATACAGGATAAAAACAAATGCCCTACAGACAAATAATACATATGAACTAGCTCCATTATCAAAAGGTTTTTAGATTTTTATGATTAAATCCAACAAAATTAACAAGAAAAAATATAAAGTTTGTTTTCTCATGAAAAGATTTTCATAAAATTCCTAGCATTGATTATTACGCAACATTTTTCAGCTATGTCATGCATTATGTTGATCTGAACATTAATGCAATTAGCTGTTTAGTATAGTTTAAGTGTTCACAAGAGAGATGTTAAAACTGCTTCTTCGAATGCTCCAATCAATTGTGACCAAAATGGTGAAAAAGTAGTATATAGACAAACTGAATCATTATATAGTCTAAAACAGGATAGCTGAAATACTGTATTTTATTCATGTTTGATTAATCAAGACTTCATCCAATCAATTGCTGACCTTTGTATCTAAACTAAAACTTTTAGAGATAAAATAATTCTTGTTAATTGGCTTTTCAATATTATTGCAACAAACTGTAGTTCTACACTATGTAAAGCTCTTGAGTCAAAAGTTAAAAATAAAGGATCTAGGAGAAATTTCTTGGTTCTTTAGAATACAGAACATATATAAAGGCAATGTAATTAGAATGAAGCAATCTTCATATTTAGCAAATTCTAAATACAGATCCACTCCTTGTGAAATGAATATAAGATTTATGAGGATTGTGATGAATTGTTTGTAGAGAGAAATAGTTGGAATTTGTTATGACAGTCACCAGATCAGATTCGTGTGATAATTTAATGAATTTGTCACATATGGAAAACCCTATTGTTGTTCATTTAGCCCAGGTTTTAACAGGTAAGGTGACAATTTTATCAACAACACAAAAAACCAGTTCAATTGTCCATACAAAGCTAAGAATGTTAATGTAAATTACAAACAATTTATATTTCATAACAATCTTCAGAAAAGCAGCCAATATGATGTGATTGAATGAAAGTTTGTGCATCTGTCTGAATTATCACTAAAGAAAAGATACATTTAATAATTCATCTGATTTTTACCATTGAACTTTCTTTTTCTTTTTTTACAGCTTTGCTCAGGTATGAATGTGTTCATATTTGTATATTTTTTTAAGTTTTTAGAAAAAAAAAAAAATGAACGTTTATTTGTATAAAGTGCAAAATGAAAAAGTTAATAGTAAGCAAAAAAAAAACCAACAAAGTGACCACATATTTGGGCCTAAATTTACAAAATGAAATGATGAGAAAGTATTACAGGAAAAAATTGTATTGCAGAGGAATCTATTTTATTTGGTGTTTATTTCTTTTGTACAAATTGCAACTAAAATTCAAACCTATTTAAAATACACATTAACAAAGCAAAATTAGCAAATTAATTTTTTTTTTCTTTGTCATAAACAGCATATTTTAATAATTTATTATTATATAAAGCAGATTTTATTCAAGTATGATTAAAAAACAAAAACATCTTATGTTGCATTTCAGTGAATTTCATGGCATGAAAAACAATCCTTGTAGCAAAATATTTCTATTTCCCTATACTCCTAACATTGCAACCACTAAATAAAAACAAGTCATTAACTTAACTTTATCAATATTTATTGATGAATATCAACCATAAAAAGTGTCTGATTTTAGAAATGACGTTACCTTGTATCACTTAAACTATTTCCTGAGTAAATGCACATACGTGCGACTACTGGAGAAGATCCATTAGGAAATTGTAGAGATCCAAGTCCATGGGCATATCGTGGCTGTAAGGGGAGAAAGATAAAAGAATTATACATTGCTTCAGAATATGTATTATTTGGAAGAATCAATAATTCAAATAATTTTTTTTTTTAGATAATTTTTTCAATTCAGTCAAGTTTTGTGTATTTTTCCTCATGACACATTTTCCAACCAGTTTTGAAATTGTAACAGAATTTGACTGTGAAGCACACAAATGATCGAAATATCTGACAATCACTGAACTTGAAATTATTGAAATAAAAACTAAGTGAACAAAATCATAACAGCTGAAATAATTATATTAAAAATTTATTCTTGCTTTACATGAATAAAAATCAAAACTTTCTAACCCCCTCAATTTTTTTTTTTAATAATGATTGTTTTAGTTTTCTGCAGAGTTTAATTAATCAGTTAAGAAATTATTTAAAATTAGACAAGAATACTTTTAATTATAAACATTCTTTATTTGGTTTAAACATACATTTACCAAAAGTGATTTCAGTAATATTTTTCACCAAAATGCTTAAAAAAATTACTTTCTAGAGAAAAAAGACCAAATAAAAATAAAATATACTTACCTCAAACTTTGACTCAATTGGAAAATCAAATGAAAGCCCACGGAAATTCAAAACAAAAAGTTGTTTTTCTGAATTGTACACTGTTATTGGAAAAAAAAAAAAAAAAAAAAAACGAAAAAAAAAGTATCTAAATAAAAGCAATAAAAGTCTTAAAATTACAAAAAATTTCTAACCTTTTAATTGTAATAAAAAAATTTTTTTTTAGATAGTCCATCAATTCATGCATACTCCAATCCCCAAAACTAGATTGGTAAGGATCTGTCTTGGAGAAAAAAGTATTTATTCCACAACTTGAACAAAGGGGTATTTCAACTTTATATAATGCTCAAAAGACAATGGTAGACCATTGATGAAATATCCTCAGTGATATCAACAGTCAAAAGATCTTCATCCCAAGTCATCAATTTCTTTGAAGATGGTTAAGAACTAACATTGAGATAACTGCATGATTTGACATTAAAACACACATTAGTGAACTGTCTCTGTGTGTGTCCAAAATTTTTTAAAACTATCATCTCCAAACATATAATAATAATTATCAATGTTTATTTATATATTTCTCATCCCATCTGTAGCGAGAAGGGAGGTAATTTATGAGTGATTACTTCCCTTAGTCATTTTAATAATCTATACAAATATTTATCTGCATTTAGACAAAATTAGTTCTCGAGCATAATGAACCATTTAATTAATTAGTTCTTTTACGCCTACATTTCTTAGATTGCAGTCTTCTTTATTGAAGCCTTTCATGTGATCCACTCACATACCTTTGTCCAATAAGTGATCGTCTTGTTACAACTTGGTTTTGAAATAGGCTTTGACATCACCATCTTTGTCATTTTGTTGCTAATCTTTTTCTTTTAAGAGATATTTCCATTTCACTGTTATATTAAACACATATTTTTAACATGATATTGAGCAAAAAGTGATTTATATAATATCAGAGGTAATCAATGACTCCTAGATACTATTGAATGTCTAACAAATATAAAGGGAATGGACTCATTATTCATTGACCTCTATTGTAGTTGCAATGGGTTATTTAATGCCAACGAGATTTTTAGGATAAGTTCATGTATGAATAGAATATATATATTTTTGTAAGAAATCAGTTTGTAGATCAGGTTTCAGTGACATATTTTTGAAAAGGGTTTTTTTTGTCGAGACTCAAATGTATTGCAAGTAATAATTATTTATTCATTTTTTTTCAAAAATGTATTGCTGGTAATTTTTTTCTAAATATGTATTGGAGGTATTTTTTAGTATAAAATCTATTTTTATATGTTTGTAGCTTTTTTATCCCCAGTTTGGGTATTAACTATTTTCACATAGCTGAGACCCTAACACATGCTACCACTCCGGGTCAAAGTGGACCTGGGAACAACAACAATTAAGGGGGGTTCCACTCTCCTCAAAGCCTCCTCATCAGAGGCCTTGTTACCAGATTTAGTTTATCGTCATACGTAGGACTATTCAGTTTTGCAACAAGTCCATGGTCATTGCTACTAACAAGTTAAATGTGAGAAATAAGCCCTAGAAAAAATCAGGAATTGAATTAAAAAGACTTTCAAACATTATTTTAATAAATAAATCATACTAAACTACCTAGGTAAGGTATATATCATACTCTACTTTCAGTGTAAAATTCAAAGGGACAATCAAGGCTCTTAAATGTGAGCAATCAATATAGACTGTAATAAAGAATAAAAATACAATAATGACTTAATAATAATTAAAATCTCAAGTTTTATTAATAAATTGAATCAAAATTAAATGTTTTCATTAAATTTAAGTGTTATTTAATAAAGTATTAAAAATCATTAGCATTGATGGTCAGTCAATGTATATGCAAGAATTGAAATTGGAAAATTTTAATTAGATCAACTCAAATTTTTCCAAATGTAGCTCATGGAGTTCTATTATCAACATAAATAAATGTTGAAACTAATATATTAAAATGAAAATCTAATCAAGGTATATGCATGATATCATAGAAATAGTCTTGAAATTTGAATTAATTCAGAACTAGTTTGAATTTTAACAAGCAATATTTAATTGGTAAAAATATACATGTCCATACCAGTAAGTTTCTTTGTGTAATCTCTACCTAATGAATATAAATGTGAGGTGTGTGTGTGTGTACACACACACACACACACACACACAGATGTATCTCCAATCTTATTCCAAGTTATCTAGTTGGTGGTAGGTGGGGGAAATAAATTCAAAGATCAGATTTTTTTCCTTACTTTACTGATACCATAGAAAATAATATTGGAGCAACTTTACAATTGCATTGATTACATTTTCCGTGTGAAAAATTTAGGATTTTATTTATTCAATTAACTATTGTGAAAAGGATTTTTGTTTTTAAATCATTAAAACTCAAAATATGAAAAGAAAGCTAACTCAAAACAAAAGAAATAAAAAGCAATGTATTAACAACTCCACTACTTACTGAGATATTCCATTGCTGTTAACATGAGGCATGCTTGCTTATTGTCAAAGAGCAGGCCTGCACAATTAAAAAAAATATGAAGGGCCACATTACTTGCAGAAAATTAACCATGGACCACTAAAGTAAATGGCACAAATGCACTAATATATCCCAAAGTAGGCATGTCTTAATCAAGAACAAAGATTGTGCATTATTTTTGGTAATGGTTAAGCAAGTGTCAACTGTTTCTTTTTTTCATTTTTAAGAAAAGTTTAGATTTAGTTTTTAAAACTATCACACACTTCCTTAGCTTTAGCCTCTGGTTATGGGATTTATTTTTATATAGATATTCCAGCATTTTTAAAAGATTTACTACTCACAATAAAAGAGTAGTGTTGGAAAAGATGACTGCTTTTTTGGTCTTGTGTGCCTTTGATAACTAACATTGAAACATGAAGTCAAATTTTCTCAACCTTCCCCTCAAACACACTTTCTTCAAATGGAATGGAGGGAAATGCTGGCTCTCTGCATACCCAACCCACTGATTTCCAAAAGGTTTTTTTCACATCACCACAGTGTTATAAACCTGAATTTGATTCAACTCTAATTTGGATGAAACCACTGAATAGGATCTTCAGTGTGAGGGAGATAGAAAAAGACTATCTATCTATATATATATATATATATATATATATATATATATATATATATATATAACAAAGTGAAAGGGATTTATTAAATAAAAAGGCAGTGAAATATTAGTTGAATAAAATTATGCTTCCACAAAATTGATCAGTTACCGAATTCTGATGAATACAACATTTCACTATTTTGAAAATCTCTCACAAGCCAGTCTAAGTAGTTTCTGTATTTTGTGCAGGCCTGAGAGTAATGCCTCCTGTCACTACAACAGTGAAACATCTCATTATCTTAAGTGTGGGTAGGTGATTGATAAATATATAAAATACAAAGTGACTTTTATATTATAGAATTGTGCATTGATAATGTGAAAATGAAAGATCAAATAATATTTGAAACATCAAAATATTCCAAATATGCCCTTTATCACCATCCCACTCCAATGTTTCTTGTTTGCAAAAAGAAAAAAATCTGAGATAGATGAAGTATTTTAGATGGAAGGTTTTTTTTATTACCTCCGGGATGAGTTGCTCCAAATGATTGGTCAATTTGTTCAATGGTCGGTTGAACTTGAGGTGAGTTGAAATGGACACCACTGAAACAAAAGAAAATAGCAAAAAATGAACCAATTTTAGAGTAAAGATGAAATAGAATAAATTGAGAACAGCAGTGGGACTATTACCAATCTATAAATTGAGGGTTTCTTCTTTTGTGAAAGAAAATTTAGTGATACAGTTAGTCTCAATGAATAAATCAGAAATTTGGAATTAAGCCAAATTTGCTTAGTCCAACAAATATATTGCTTTCATAAAAGAGAATCTATAGAAAAGATTTTTCATCTGTAGTTGGATTTCCTATACTCAAGGAATTTGATTCTTGGAATATGAACAATGCAAGATCAATACCTATAAGCCAACCATATGAAAGAATAAGAACCAATATTCTACCACATAAAATAGTCCCAGAAATATGTATTTTGGTCAGAATAATATTTATAAAGACATACAGCATCACCATTTTGTCTGTAATTGATTAAATAGTTCTTGTTTTCAACATTATGTATGCTAAAAGATCTATATCAAGTAATACTCAACATCAACTATTTGCAAATAGCTGATGATATTGAATATTAATTTTCTTCACAATATTATAGTTATGAAATAGTTATTTTATTATGGCCATTTTACAGTAAGTGAATAATTAGTAAGTTTTGCAGGTTGTTAGTTAAACCTAGTAAATATTAATATGCCTGCTTGGTGAGTTAGTTGCAAATTTCCACTTAGTATCAGTGTTCTAAGCCAAGGAAAAATTTAGAATTTTAATACTGATTTCAAGACAGGCTTGCCTTATTTTGGAAGATTGGTACAACACAATCTTAGTCAATCCTACTCAAATTCTTCATCTGTCTACTCTATTCAGCCTTGTGCCAAACTAAGCAAATTCATTATCATTAACTATTTTATTAAGAAAGCAAATTTTGTGTGCATTTATATACCAGATATATTAGACACTGGTATGTATACAGTATAAGTTTCAAGTCAAAAAGAAAAAAGATATTTGAATGATTCATTTTCTGAAAAAAATTTGGACTAAGGGAAAGTATTCCAAATAAAATCATTTCACATCATAAATTAATTTGGTGAAGTCATTTGGCTAGTGAGAAAAATGTTAATAAAGATAACCAGAGTAACTTACCAGTATTTTAACTTGACTTTGTTCATGCTAAAAACTTCTATTATCTGTAATTAAGGAAAAAAGAAAATTATATTTAATATAAAGTTTATAAGCCGATCAGTAAAATAGTAATTAATTTTACTGAAGTAAATGAATAAAAAAAATCAGTAACAATTATTTTAATGTGTAGTCATTTCTTAAGATTTAAACAAAAAATGCATTTTACAAAACTGTTAAAGGAAAATGATATTAAGCCTGGCACAGAGATTTATACACTGTTGAAACAATTATAAGCATTTAATACAGAAGCAAGATCAAAAGTTAATAATTATATGCTATTAGTATTAAAAGCTGAAAACTTGCTCTATAAGTGGGATTTACAGTAGGACTAAATGGGAGTCTAAAGCCCCCAATAAAAGATGTCTTTCTGGCAGTGTGCATGTGTGTCTGAAAGAGGGGTTCCCAAAAGATTTTTGGGAAATCAAGATTATTTAACAGGGTAAATACAGGTATGACCACAAACTGTGAGAATTTATAGCAAATATTGTTAAGAGGCTAACATTTATGGTTCCTTGGTGGCCATTGCTAATATGGAAAAAAGTAATGTTAAAAAATAACAACTTTGATTTCTGTCTGGGAAACTTTCTGCTAGATATCTAATTTATACAGTTAAACAAAGAGATAAAGATTTGGTTTAGTTGACCTGAGGGACAGTAAGAGTCCAGTTTAGCATCATATTTACATTAAACTCATTATTCACTCACTTTTAAGCGCTGACAAACAGGATCAAATATTAATTTGATGCCATCCTGAGACAAACTGATGACTAAGTCCATTTGTAACGGCTGCTGTAAAAGAAAATGACATTGAAAAATTTTAACACATATTAAAAAATTCTCTACAGGCAGGGAAGTCACATATTGCACAGGCTTATGTAGAGTCAAGACTTTGTCAGTATATTTATAAATATCGTTAACTGTCATGCAAATTGATCAAACAATATTTAAAATGCTTAGAATTTATCAATTCAACATTTTGAATTTTTATGATGAATTCAAGATATGTGCCATCACTACTTTCATTCCAATTCCAGATCATAGTTTCTGTTTTAGAAAAGTTTTTCTAAAATCTTAAACTTTGGTACACTTGATATAAAATGTTGATCTTTTGTTCAAGATCTTTTTTATACCAACTTTGAACATCTATATTATTATCCTTCTCGTTGTTGGTACACTAACCTCTAGAAAGAAGACAAAAGCACTGTTTGATATCAGTAGATTAGTTTGGTATGAGGTAAAGTATATTCAAAAGATTCTAGACCCATCTCTTCACACCTGTGCTCATAAATGCACAAAGAATATTGAAAGAACAGATTAAACAGGCTAGCATTCATTTCCTCCTTGTGATACATGTGACAATGTTTGAAATGAGTCAATTTTTGTGCATATCTGATTTTGTTGATTGATACAGTTTTTATATCAGATTAAAATAGTGGAGTCAGAATTTGGAAGATAGTTTCTTATGAGAAAAATAGACACGTAAAAAAAAAAAAATGGTGACAAAAAGAGATAATTAAATATACCTTATATACCATGAAGTGTTTTATAAAACTTAGGTTGTGTAAGAAGTCAGTATTAATAGAAAAAAACTTTTACAAACATTACTTAAACACCTTGAAATCACATTTCCTGCAAAGTAATATGCATACATATTTCACATCAGGTCTGCTTCTGTTAATGGTGACTTATATATGCAAATTCTTGCATAATTTTTTTTGTTGGTGGGAATGATTTTTTTTTAACCCAGAAATACCATGAAACAGTTCTTTGCAAACAAGTTATGAGGGGTGCTCCAAAAGTAATGTCTCTTATTTCCAGAGAAACTCAAACAGATACAAAGAGCACAAAGACACAATCTGATAAAGCAAGTCTTCAGTGACAAAACACTCTCCCCCGCCACAATAATTACCATTAGGTATATATTTTTGTAAATGACAATCATTTTGTTGGTGTAAAGGCCACTCAGAATGTAGCTCTCATCACAAACATTAATTGCTGTACTACTGATGAAACACACTATTCACTGCCCAACTGCCCGTTTGGTTTCCATAAGCATACAGCAAGTGTCGATTCGATGCATTTTTTTTTTTTTTTTTAATAAAATGACAGTTTTCACACTTTCATTTCAGATATCATTTTGCCAGTCTCCAAGGCAAAAATAGGTTATTGGCAGGAAGATGGTTCAAGCTCTACCACCAACATCTGTTTCACAGTGGTGGAGGAGATGAACAATAGGATGAGCCACACCCAATTTATGCATCCTTTACTGAACTGTGATACCAGGGATCATGATTACTGGTTAAAATTTATGTTGGACATACAGTGATTTGAGTACAGCCACTCCCATGTCAAATTTGGTGACCGACTCAGAGTGTTGTATTTGGTGGAGTGACCATGATATGACAATATGATACCCACAAGCCTCAGTATTATATTTGGTGCAGTGACTAGGATTACCAAATTTCTCAATACATCGAGTTACTAAACAGTATTTTATGCACTAAATGACTCAGTTAGGACCACTGCCTGTTACAAAATGAGCAGTTAATTTATATATAAGTTTTTCATTGTTTCTTCTCTGTTCCTCTTGCATTTAATATGTTCTTTGAGTGTCAAATTTTCTAAACTCTCTTTCCTCATTATGTGTCCCAGAATTTTCAAATATTTCTTTCTGATTTTAAGTGTAAGTGTCTTTTTTGTTTCCATTTTCTTTTAAAAAAATCCTCATTGCTCATGTTCCATTCATATTCTCAGCATCCACATTTCTCTTGCTTCAAGTCTCCTGTTTATTTGGAAGGAAACTGTCCAGCATTCGCTGCCATATAGGGGGATTGATATTACATAATAATTCAGTATTCTTTTCTTTGCTTCTAACGAAATTTTCCAGTTTTTTAATATTTTGTTTAGCTTTTAGAAGGCATCTTTTGCAATTCCAGTGCGTCTTATGGATGAGAAAAACTTTAGAGTTACTTCCCTTATTTTGAATTTTTTTTAAAAATGGAGTTATTTCCCTCTTTATTTTTTATAGTCAAGGAAAAGGCAAAGTTGTTTTTGAATATGATTTTGTATTAATCAAAACAAAATTGATCTCATGCGTTAGATCTTTTCATGATTTTAAACTATAAAATAATATTCAATCATAAAAAATTTGATGATTTTTTAAAATTTCTTTTTATGTTAATTACGATTTTATTGCTTCTAAAAAATAAACATGAAATATATACTTGGACCAAAATTAAACCTGAATATAAAACTATGGATGATAGAAATATTAAAATGATTCTTATTTTGGTATACATTTTTGTATATTAACATTTAACAACTTCTATTTCAAAGAAAACAATATTTTCTGTGCTTCTTAAAGAAAGCATTTTTTATTTAATGTATCGTTTTTATCTTTGCAATTTGTTGAACGTATATATTTTTCAGCCATCCTCAGGCCTATGCCCCATTCTATGATCTTTTGATATTGCTTGTTTTTTTTTGTTTTGTTTTTTTTTTTTTATTTCTTCACCTTGAACATTGTAATCAAACAAAATCACAAGCCTTGTATTAATTGATAAACTAAATACTCAACACTGTGTCTGTGGTGTCCTACTTGAGGTGAAGAGAAAAGAAAAACTTATGAAGCAACTTTTAAAGACCATTGAATGCAATATAGACCTGAAAAAAGACAAAGATATGTATTAAGAACACAAAAGTGAAAACAACTATCCCGAAAAACATGTGAAATAAGCAAATAACTTTAAATGTAAGCTGTTTTATCAATCTTTTATACAAAAACTGCTTAAGGGAAAAACTCAAACTTTTACACAACCAATGAGAAATAATATATCTTCTTATTGAGAAATAATATATAAATATATAAGTTACATATTATTTTTAAGGAAAGAATAAATTAAAATTATATGAGTTTCACTATAAATAAATTCCATTTACACAAATATCATAATTTGAGGACTTAAAGATTTGAGAAACTAATTTATAATAAGTTACCATTTTTAAAAAGAAATTTCAATATTAGATTATGTAAGTTTCATTCATATTTGATGATGATGCAAATATCTTAAAAGGATCTTAAATTTATATTTTATGGCTCTAATGAAATGGATATAATGGGGCATGTCTTTCCAATTAATGATGTTAAAACATCTATGGTCTATTTTATAGCTGCAATAGTTGTGGGGAGATCTGTCCAGAAAGTATCCATTCAATATTAACAAAACATTAGCCTATTGCAGACAATGGTGTCTTAGTCTTCTTCAAAGTACTCTCCTAACGACCTAACTTACACTATAAGCCAAAAATTTGGTGTGTGTGTGTGTGGATTTCAAAGAATTACCTAAAAATTGAAGGTTGCATGCCTTTTTCAAAATTAATTAGCTCATTTTGGGCCAGAAGGACTTTTTCTTCTTGAATGGTTTTCAATAATAATAAAATTAATATATTACTGCATAAAGTTTAATTAAAATTTTAGCCCTTTTTGTATAATTTACCTTGGTGGCAAATGGTAATTTTAGCCCTGGTGGATTTAAAATCTTAGGTAAACCAATTCTCTAAAAAATTAGAAACCATGCACTAACAGGTTAAATAAGTTTCAGCATCTTAGCTCAGTAGATTTAATTAAAGAAGATATGAGATTTACGAATTATTAAATCCGGAGGGTGCCCCCCAACCACCAAAAAAAAAAAAAAAAAAAAAAAAAAAAAAAAAAAAAAAAACAAACAAACAAACTTTTGGCTTATAGTGTACTTCTTTTAGCATCCCTTCCATTTTTCAAAACAGTTTTCAAAATCCTCTTTTGAGATTATCATCAACAGCCTCATTACATCCTCTTTAATCTCAACCATAATATTGCCAGAGTGACTTTTAGTCATAATCTGGACTGCAGTGGCACTGACAGACTTTGGTGATGTAATATTTTTTTGCCAAAACATCCTGTATGAGATATGAAGAATCTACTTAATTATTGTGAATGAAAGTATAGAATCTCACTCAAAAACACACAATCTTCCTACCCTCATTCTTTCGTGTTTGATCTTATACTAAGTTTACTAGTAACCATAAAAGTGTCTATCAAATTAAAGATAGTTTTCTGTACACTTACTGTGTTGCTGTACCAAACTTGAACACCTTTTATAACTCTGTCTTGCCGTTTTAAGATATTCACCGTTTGATAGAACGGCATGCCTGAAAAATAAATACATCTCAGAAAATGTCTAATTTTCAACAACTACATTTGTTTTTATATATTATTATTAATGTATTGTACACCAATAAAGTGGAATCACTTACCTAAGGCTGAAAAAAAGACAAATGATTATTTTCTGTTTATAAAAATGTTCATGTAATTTTGCTTCTTCTGAATCTCTGGAAGTTAATCATAATACATGGAGTGCTGAAAAGTTCTGTGCCAGACTAATTTTCCAAACTCAGTATTTTAATGAATGATGATTTTGGAAAGTAGGTCAGATAAATGATCAATTTTATAGAAAGTGAAAACTGATAAAATAAATTAACAGTCACCATAACAAAATTTTAAATCTATTTACATGAAATCTAAGTCGCTAAAATAAAAAAAAAAAAAACTTAAGAAAATTTACCAAAAAAAACTAGATGGAATTATTATTTTTGGTACATTTTATTATTCTGTCTACTGAATATAAATGGTTATTCAAATTAGGTACAAAACTAGAGAGACAAAGAAAGAATGGTTTGCTAGCTTTAAAATCAGTATTTGAAATCCTGACTCATCTATACTTGAACACCATCACCAATGGTGCCAGTGGGTAGTATGTATCTATTTTAATCACCAAACAGGCTTCAATAATCACTGAATTTAGTAAATCAGTAATTAACTAGATTTAGAACCATTGTAATAAACAGTATAATAATTTCTGCTGAAATATTTGTGCAAAATAAATTTACATACCAATTAAAATTTGAATTTATATCATTTACTTTTTCCGGTCAATGGGAACACTTCACTACAAACTAGATTTTTTGCCTAAACAAAAGGTCACTTGGTTAAAAGTAGAAGAGCTGCCAACTTGGAATTTTGTCAGATATTTTCAATCCAATAAAAATTTACATTAATGATTATTTTTATTCAGTTAGAATTCTAATGAATACATTATTCCCAATCATTTTTAATCCTTCTTAGCTGATAAATTCTTATAAATAGCTACAATCAATTTCAATGGTAATCAACCACTTTTCTTACAATGATCAACTCATAATTTTAAAAGCTGTGCTTAGAAAATAACATTTATTTTGACATATTTCTTAGAAGGCTTTCAAGTTGACAGCAAATTATTTAAGGATAAATTTACAGTTTTGTCTGCATTTAGTTAATAGAGAAACAGAACTGCCACTGGACTGTGGTGTTTATCAAATCATTTGAAACATGCTAATTTGTGCAACCATTTTACTTAACACAGCCACACACACACACACTAAATACTTGCAATATTTATTTTTGTGAATGAACTTTTCACACTTTTACATTGAATATATACAACACAAAGCTGAACTCTGTACAAGACAATGTAGTTTATCAAAAAGAAATTTCTAGTTTATTATCATATCCTTTATTTTCTTTCAAATTCTATATCTAAATATTTATCAGCAAATTATATTTTTTATAACACCATGGCCCAAAGACAATTTCTCTAGTTAATGAGTGGTGAATATAAGAAATTTAATTAGTTCTTGTATTGTTAAGAAACTAAGATTTTATAACCAATAACACTAGACAAGAGTAGTGAAATATGGAGACTGTGTAGACACAGCTGCTTTATTAAAAATCAACTATGCTATTATTTTGATTGTATGTTTGAAAACTATGTTTTTTCTTTAACCTAAGATCAGAGAGCACCATTTGTCTGTTCTATGGCCCTTCTGAACTAGCATCAATTATACTTTCTGACTGAGAAAGCTACAGAATAATATGAAGCAGGAAAGAATTGGGAAAAGTGAGAGGGAGGAGGAGTGGAGGAAAAGTAAAAGGTAGAAAGACTTGAGAAAAATGCAAAGCAAATTGTGTGTTGAACCATTGTTAATTTATTGACTATATATACAGAGAGAAATGGAAACAAAAGAAAAATAGTGCAGCTAGATATCAAGAGATAGGAAAGGTGTAAAAAAAAAAAATAATACATTAAAATACATTATAGAGAGAAAAAGCAAAAGAATAGTAAGAGTGAGATTAAAATAGAAAAAATTGTGCATTCTTTTTTTTTTTTTTTTGCAAATCGGACTAATCTACAGTATCCATTTTATTTAGATAAAGATACAGATAGGCACCAAAGACTTAGAGTAATAAGTGTAAGAATGAGAAGATACAGGCAAAAAAGCAAGATTAAAGTAGAAATGCTAGATTAACGTAGAAACACAAGATACTGAATGATGTTATAGATATGAGGGATTTTCATGGGATCAGCTAGCTATTATAAAATTATAAATAGAAAATAAATTTTTTTTGTTTTGAATTAGGATTAAATTTCATGTTTCCTGTTTTTGGCAATATTATTTTCTTAGTATTTGGGTGGATTTATTTTAATATTTCACTGTAAGCCCATTTAGTTCTAACACCATCATAATTATCCATGCAGTTATTTGATTCTGAATGAAATTAAAAAAAAAAAAAAAAATACTACAATTATCAATTAGCATGTCTTTGTTAAAATTATGGCTGGTCTTGTCAAACATTTAAAGCTAATAAAAAACTAACAAAAAAGACAGTAAACAATATGCTTCTAAAAATTTTTACAATCAAATATAAAAGATGGAAAGCAGAATCAGAAATTACATGAACTTTGAAAAATAAATGCCCATTAAAATGCAACAATGAAGATAACTTCAGAAACATATGGAAAATTTAATACTTGTGCCCTCAAGATAGCTGTCTGGATAAAGATAAAATTTTGTGCAGGAGTTATTAACTGAAACAGCTTTACAATCAAGAATTTTCAGAGAGCTTACTCAAAAAATTTAAAAAAAAGATGGTGTCAAACTATATTAAACTGAGACATTTGGGAAAATTTTAGGATCTTGAAAACAACCAACAAGGAGCCACTTCGATATCTTGATCTTCAAAGATTTTACAAAGGAGAAATCTTTGCAGGATATCAACAGCAATTATACAACATGGTGAAAGCAGGGAAATATAATGGGATTTATTTATGATTCAATTTGGTCTTTACAGGATTTTGTTTGCTTGGAGTCAACAATGAGTGTAGCAATGAAAAATAACTTGCCAACAATTATAATTTATGAGTGTTAAGTACTTGAAGACTAAAAGGCTCTTCGTGATCAGGTGGCAGGTGGGATTAACTTGTTTCCTTTCTTTTAACTCTTTTATCCCCTTCATTCATGAGCTACCTGCAGTGTCTATTCAGGAGACTGGCACAGAGATTTTGTTTCTCTAATAGCGTACTTTCCCCTATCAGATAAAAGGAAAATATCAGCAATGTCCCAAAGTTACAGATTTGCTAGTGATACTGATAACATACAAGGGATTTAATTTGTGAATGTGCAGGTGGTGTAATGGATAGTGGCTTGGAATGAGAAATCGGAGAGCCAAGTTCAAATTGCAAATAAAGATTTATTCTTAAAATCCAAAATATGTTTCAGCTTTATATAAAAGGTTTGATAAACCATAAAAAAAAAACAAATCAATTACGAATAGTCATCATTAATCGAAATTTCAAATAAGTATTGAGGTTCAGATGGTAAAGAGTATCTTCATGTATAGAAATAATGACATTGAGTTTTTTTCCCCATTTTAATCTCAAGGCAGTGGCTTGAAGCTATCACCTAAAATGCTTCCCAGAATTATAAATATCTGATTTTGCGGAATTCATTTTATAATTTAGATAACCATAAAAATAACTCCTCAAAATCATATTTTTTCTTCACTTCACTAATAGATTGGATTTTCTGACAGCAGAATCGTATAAACCTAATGCGCTGAAAATAATCACACAATTATTGATTATTTTCAAAGCATTATATGATTCTACTTTCAAAAAATCTAATTGTTATCATTGTAATTGGTTTCCCTTGTACAGTGAAAATGTAACAGGCGAGACTAATTACAATGGCTTTTGGCTAAATCAAAGAAAGGTTCATTGTGTCAGCTTTCATGTTTAAATCAAAACCTTCTTAGGAAGGAACCATTGTCTTTTTGTAACAAGTGACAACAAGAATTTCTCTTATTACAAGTAGAATGACTGGAACTATAAACAAAACAAAATGTGTTTATTATCTGTCGTTAGCCAGTCCCTTGTTAACAATAGCATCTTTATGCATGTATAAAAAAAATTATCAAAAATAAAACAATCAAAAATTCAACATAATTTTCAGAAAATCTCTGTCTCTCTCTCTCTCATATATATATATATATATATATATATATATGTGTGTGTATGTATGACACTTTTCTATGTCACAACAGGTTTATACCAAAAATATTCTGCTAAAGGAAATTTCAAATTATCAGTGACTATGTAGATAAATAAACTTTTAAAGTTATATATATATATATATATATATATATATATATATATATATATATATATATATATATATATATGTATATGTATGTCTATATCTCTGAGATGAGGTATTATGATTACTTACTTTATTCAGACTGACTGTTATCCTCATCTTCATTGTCATATTCACTGAATATGGCAATGAAAATGAGGATAATGTAAATAATGTAAGTAGTTATATGTATGTATATATAATTAAGGATGTGTGGGTGGGTGGTGTAATGGATAGCAGTTCAGAATGAGAAATTAAAGAGCTGAGTTTGAATTCCTGTTGAGTTCATTACATTTACTTATAGACAAATATCCTTTGGAAATGTATGAATTTATCTTTTCTTCCTCCTGCTATGGATTAAATAGTAGGACAGACTGGGTTCTATAGTCTTGGTTAGCAATCATTCTAGAGATGATAACTCAATAAAAACACTCTGCATCAATCCATAAAAACACACAGTAACTGAAATTTTTCAGTCATGTGAGTTGAACAGTCTACCTATTCAGAACATCTAAAACACAAACAAGAAAATGCAGATATATAAGTGCAATGCAATTGCAAGAGTCATTAAGTGTGCTATTTTTTATGTAAACTAATAAATTAAAACACAGAATTAGAGGGATAAATTTGATAGATGCGTA